TTACCACTGTTGAGTTCCAGTGGGTAGGCGTATCTATTGTGTAGTTTAGGTTAGCTTTCTCTTCATCAGGGATGTTGCTGCGGACATCCTCCATGATGCGAGCTGCCTTCCCGGAGAACTTCAACATCTTTAGCATCTCCCGGCATTTTGTGATGACGTTATGGACGACGGTCTGGTTGCGGACTGGTTTGGTGTCCTCGAGCCCACTTAGCCACGCGGCATCGTCTTCTGGTCCCCACTCGTCATCATCCTCACTGTCGTCATCTTGATCGCTATATATAGCGTTAGCGAGTACTTCGACATCATCACCACCATTACCATCGTTGTTACCATTACTACCATTGCCACCACTACCACCACTACCACCACTAATACCACTAACACCAACATCACCAACATCACCACCGTCATCCTCCTCCTGGTAGTTGGAGGCTTTGCCTCGATTGTTCATATTGAGGAAGAGTTTGAGGGCATTCGATACTGCCAGATGGAGACGATGTCCCGCACACGGCAGTCAGCACACCATGTGCTTCAATCTAAAGCGCTTGTCCAAGTCAGGCTCCTTGTCGTTTTTGCCGGCCTTGTCTTTGTCCTATGCTTTACGGCTCTCCATGAAGAGCTTGGTCGAGGCCCTACGTAGGTCTCCCCCGGAGTCGGTGACGACGAAGGCCACCTGAAACCAGTGAAGCTGAATGGATATTCTTCTATGGAGTACAAAACCTTGTCCAATAGATTCATTTTGTCCTAGGTGTTGTAGATTATGCTCGCTAGGTTCGGCGCTGTGTGGTCTTCCGGAATCTCTTCAAGTCCGATTATCGTAGACTTCATCTCTGTTGGTAGCCCTTTGTCGCCCTCCACAATGTAATGGTGAGCCACCACTCCTAACATGCTCTGGGTAGAACGTCTAGACCAAGCGTCAGTTGTTATGGCGATGATGTCCGGTTTCTGGAGGTCTTCTCTGGCTTTATGGATACGACCGTGTAGATGCGTGTCTAGTAACCTGCTCAGCGCTTGAACACTTTGTCTTATGTGGCTCACCTTCCTATTTGTCTTCGACTCGGTATCTTGTATCCTTTATCGGATCTGCTTGCTGTGAGGTACTTGATCAAGGCAACCAAGCCAGGACCGTCCTGGCAGGACGGTCAACGGTACATAACGGCAATCCGTCAAGGACTATCTGTGATAAAGGACTGGAGCATTGGCCACATTCGCGGTTATGCCATAACCGTTATGACTTATTCCTATCATTTCGACAACTAGCGCAGT